CCCATCCCACCCCGCACACCGGGCCACTCCAGCTGGGTGACCGCCCTTCCAAGGGGCCACCGATCCCCCGGGAGTGTCTAGGGGGACTGATAACTCGTGGGGGGCTGGGGGTGCTACCCCTGGCCCTGCCTGCTCTCACGCTCTCCCGGTGGGTTGTCTCTGCTCCTTTCCCCAGGGCACCTTCTCGCTCATCATTGAGGCTCTGCATACGGACTCGCCTGACGACCTCACCACAGGTAACTGTCCTGAAACAGACCCTTACCTGGAATAATCCCAGTCCTGTGGCCCCACTCAGTCCCTCTCTCTGCATTGTGCAGTGTGTTCCCCCCATTCCATCCCTGCTCTTCCTTGGGAGACCAGGAGAAGAGAAGCCAACCTGTTGGCATGCAGCCTTATCATCCTGCCTCTACGGTTCCCCTCCCACCAGAGACGCCCTGCTGAGCATCTTCCTATGCCCCTGCCCGCTTTGGGCTTCCTAATCATGCCTCTCCTCTCCACTTTCACACAGAAAACCCTGAGCGCCTCATCAGCCGCCTGGCCACCCAGAGGCACTTGGCAGTGGGTGAAGAGTGGTCCCAGGACCTGCACAGCAGTGGCCGCACTGACCTCAAGTACTCCTATCGCTTTGTGTGTGACGAGCACTACTATGGAGAAGGCTGCTCTGTCTTCTGCCGCCCCCGGGACGATGCCTTTGGTCACTTCACTTGCGGAGAGCGGGGCGAGAAAGTCTGCAACCCGGGCTGGAAAGGCCAGTACTGCACTGAGCGTGAGTGTCCCATCTTCTCATCTCCCCAGGCGCCGGTTGCAGCAGTGTCCCCTGAGCTCTTGGGGGGGTGTTTCTCTGACATCAGGCCCCACGGGAGAGGGGCAAGCAAGTGACAGTGGGTGGAGGTTTGATGCTGTGTACAGGATTTACTGGTGTGGAGGACAGGAGATCTTCAGCATTACCACAGAAAGTTAATGCAGACAGCCCCTTCTCAAGATAATAAAATGACAGTGCCAACATTACACTCTTGCTTATCTGCAGTAGACATCAAATCTGATAGCAAAATGTTCAGCAATTGCTTGAGGATTTATTAAAACATATCATGTTTTAATAGCCCCCTATTTAATAGCCACCCCTTCAACCATGGTACATTGATATCATTATCTACAGGGTACGTGGCTTCAGGAGAGGGAGGTAGGCTTTGGCAACATCCATGTGGCAGGCCTGGTGATCAGCCTGTTATGGTCTGATATCTTGCCACCTTGTATTGGGAAAATTATTGGGAGGTCCAAGATGTTCTCTGTAGCCTCTAGACTGTAGATTTCTCCTTTGGGGTACTCATAAACTGCCACTAACAGAGATTGTTCCACAAGAACATTCAACTTCTTCCCCATCTGTGTTCTGTGCCATTGCCATGATCGTTACTACTAATAAAGTAGCGAGGGACATGAGTTTTGCAGTATGCCTGAGCTTGAAGTTGTTGAGGAATGTGGTACGTTGCTACAGCAGGAAAAGCTGGGACAGTAAGCAGATTGCAGAGAGTATAGTCAGGGATGTCAGATACCTCCAGCTTTGTACAAGATTGCTGCCCTTTGTAAATACATAGCAGTGTACACCCAAACATGCACACGGAGGTCCTGCTGCAGCGTGTGATGGCATTCCCTGTTTGTGTGTATACACAGATCTGAAGTACGCTGGCAGATGACGTACTGGGCGAGCGCTCCTCTCCAGTCATTGAAGGGCCAGGCAGGCAGGGAGGAAACAGTTACAGGCTGCAAAGCAGCCTCTTGGTTTTCTTCTTGTTGTGTTTTTGTTTTTCTTAAAGCCTACCTACACTGCAGTCTCAGTTGAGCTGCTATCAAACGAGCCCAGATTGATTATTCACACTGTTAGCGACTGCTAGGATGCTTTTAGCAGTTCTCGCTCCAATGTTGCACAATAAACAGCAGGCAGAGGGGTTTGCATTTCCTTTGATAGTGTTTTAAATAGGAACTGCAACCTTTCCCATGATCAAAAGTGCCTAGCCCAGTTGTGTCAAGGGGTGGGGAAAAAGGAAGCATTTTGATAATGAGCTCTTTCGGGGCTGTCAGCACTTTCGGATGCCTGTACATCGCTGCTCTTCCCATAGCAAAGTAGAAGGCTGTCCGTCTTTCTTGACTCGTTACGTGCGCTCTTCGCTCTGCTTTCCCTCTCAGCAAAAACCAGCTTATAACAGCGACGCAAACCTACTAGGCAGAGGAGATGTGTTTATGTGTGCATGCAAAAAGAATGTTTTGCCGTTAGCGAGCGGAGCTGCCAGTCGCAGATTGCTTCTCGTCGCCTTGTCCCCAGCTCCATTCTTTCCAACTTGGAGGCGATCTGATTATCAGCACCGATTCTTTCTTTCTTTTTCTTCCCCTCCCCTCCCCTTCCCCTCGCATGCCATTGTCTCCGGCTGGCTTTGTTGAATTAAAACTTTGCAGTGCCTGCTTAATGAGTTCCATAACCAGGCGAAGTAATGAGCAGAAGTCCCTTTTTTCCCTTCCCTCATCCTCCCTTCTTTCCAACTTGGAGGCGATCTGATTATCAGCACCGATTCTTTCTTTCTTTTTCTTCCCCTCCCCTCCCCTTCCCCTCGCATGCCATTGTCTCCGGCTGGCTTTGTTGAATTAAAACTTTGCAGTGCCTGCTTAATGAGTTCCATAACCAGGCGAAGTAATGAGCAGAAGTCCCTTTTTTCCCTTCCCTCATCCTCCCTCCCGCTGGCCCGCTTACCTCTTTTACCAGGG